AGATTGACGTATCTGAACTAGACGGGACAGACTCTTTAAGCTTACAACTGTGGGTTTGCCTCTAGTCTAGGTCCCCATGCAACAGGCAACATTGAAACGCATTGGGCACATATACTGCTTGCAGTGCATAAGTACGGTATTACTTCTCGTGGCACTACTACTCGTTCAACTGCCAGCCGCTGGATCTCTGTACAATTATTTGAACTTTTTGATGCTCGCCGGAATACTCTATCCACCAGTGAGCAAAATTCGTACGTAAGGCTACTTGCCCGAAGCCCCGGAAGCAAATATTAGAAGATCTCGAGGCCTGGTGGGCAAAGCGCTATCACCGTGGAACAAGCCGTTCCTACCGGGAGCTCTCGGAAGCTTTTCCATCTTATCCGAGCAATTGATAATACGCAGCAGAAGTCGAGTGAAGTAATCTGCGGAGTGAGTTGTGAGCCCATTCATAAATTGTAACTGAACCTAGGATGCTGAACTGGGCTCTTCTAACAACCATTCGCCTGGCTGCTGTCGCCACCGGCTAGGCCTCCAAGACTGTGCTTGTGTTCATTGGTTTGTCGATGTTCCTCTGTTCTCGGAGACAGGATCCACAATTGAGATCAAGCTCCTGAGACACTACAAGACGCCCGGTCCAGATTTACTTCCTCTCGCTCTCTATGCAAACGGAGGTCCAACCCTAGTCCGAGGGTTGACTGAGGTTTAGCTAACATCATCTCATTCATGTGAAAGCCCAACAACTGTTGCCTTTCTTAACATCAGAAGGGCCTTTAATTCGCGTTGTAAATATCTGTGTACATCGGTGTAATTTCTTTTTTCCCCTCTCTTCAAATGATCATGTGCCAAATGTTTATAACATTGAAAATCCTCACTACTGCTTGTCATTTGCGCAGATGCTGTGGTTATTCTCGAGTTGATGTACGCAGATCCAATACTTATTTTGCAATCTTCCCAAAAATTTAACGGACGTGATTAAATAAAAGACTCTGGCAAATGGGAGGCTTTTTGAGCGCAGAAGAAGAGTTACTTATAGTGTGCGAAAAGATATCCGACAAAAATCACGTTGTAGTGTAGTTGACCGGCCCGAAAGTCGGTCAAATTACTTTCTTCGTTTTTGTTCCGGCTAGTTCTTTTCCGCCGCTAGAACTGTATTCTATGAGTTTATAAAATCTGTCTAAAAAAAAGGTAACATCCACGAAACGCCCTAGCAATTAATTACTAGTTCCGTCTGATTTACGCTGTGTTCGTTACCGTAGGTGCACATATCCAGAGGGTATTTCTGAAAATTTTAAACAAAATGTTATTCTTACATATTGGTCAACGTCTTTCTCTTTTTCAATATGGTCCCGTTTGTTCCCTGACCTTTTGCATCCTTTGGTCTAGCGCCAAGGGGCCCTACCATCTAGCCTTCAGATTTACCGCGGAGAACTATTGTTGGCTTTAAAACTGGTTCCCGGTGGCACATTGGGTAATCAGAGCGAGTTGCACGTGTGGATCAAATCGGCCAAAGGTTTGACCACGTCAGGTAGTGGAGCCTCAAAAAGTGCGTCGGTCGATCCGTATGCAAAAATGTGAGTTCGGCCCACGGTTCATACATCCTGCACCTGTATGATTTCCTTTTCAAATGATTGTCTGATTGAGCTGTAGTTGTAAAGCGCTATCAGATTTTTCATGTCATGTAAACAGTATACCGCAATTGAGTAATAGGCAAATTGATCGATATATCGATTAATCACGTCATACTTAGATAGAAAAAAATATATTAACAGAACAGAAGTCAAATAGAGTAAAACAACACTGTTGGGTGATATCAGAAAATAAATATACATACTATTCCCAAACTATTTCGGTACACAATAACCTGGTCTCGTCTTTTATCGACCATGATTATGCAGGATATTGTTCAATAAATTTTCGTTTATCCAGTTGGGTTTACGCAAAAGTAGTATTGTTAAAACCCCTAGCAGTGTCTTGAATTTATACAAACTGGTTATGTGGACTTGCTAAAGAGTTGAATCAGGTCATCTTACTCTTGAACTAGGATGAAATTTTTAGTTCCGTTGATTCTTTGATTCACTTTTTTATTTGTTTGGATTTTCACCTTTTCTTTTTGTCCATGTAGCTATTTGTTGCCAGAACGAAGCAAGGACTCGAAACGTAAAACCAAAACATTGAAGAAAACTAACAGTCCTGACTGGAACACCAATTTTGTCTATAAAAATATTAATCGAAACAGATTGGCTGAAATTGGTATCGAAGTATCTGTATGGGATCATGATCGCTTTTCGACCAACGATTTTCTTGGCGGATGTCGTTTAAACAATGGGTCACGTGAGTTAATTTTCAGGCGCTCTTTTGCTTTCAAAGACTCGTTTAATCTTATTTGAGCAAACGGTAAACGCCTCCTGGGTAGATTAAGTCATTCTGTAATCGCTCTCAGTAAAATCAATTATGAGTGTGGTCTCATGATAGAGAACCCGAGAGACAACAGACCACATGAAAATACTTCCAGTAATTCATACACGGGAGAACGAAATTACGAAAACTATTGAGAAGGCTACCAATCAGTTGCTTAGTGAGTTAATGAGACGAAAAAGACATGAAATACTTGAAGTCATAGCATTTGTGAGAAAGAAATGAAACACCTCTGTGGGTAATCCATCAACTTACGATATTTAACCTAGAATTCGCCATCTGACTATTTTGAACCGATGAGTTGGAACTCTGTAAGTTATGAGAAGAGTGTTTTACACATCTACCTGATGGTTGCCAGCGACAGGATGTAGCACATCTGCAGTAGTTGGTGACATTTTCACCCAAGTTCCGAAGTAAACAGGATAGTACCTTTTACTCTGTTTGAACAACTGTCTAGTCGTTCAATCGTTAACCGCTCTCAAACAACTACAGATGTGAAAGTACGTACAAGCCTTTTCTAATCCTGGACAGATTCACTGATTCTGGGTATAACCCTGAGCACGATTTCAACACTTACATCCTGTTAGAAGGTTAGATAGTAACATTGTACAAGCTTCAGCAGGGTTGAAGACTGTTCTAAATGTTCTTTTATATGACTTTGACTAAAGCGTAGTGGTGATAAGCAGACGTTTGTTAAAGTAAAGTGCAGAGCCTTGCTCGACCTTCCAAATATTCATGTTTTTTACAGTTAGTCAACGGTGGATGGACGCTACAGGCACTGAGCAATCTGTATGGTTGGCTATGATGGAACGTCCTCAAACCTGGTTCGAAGGTCTCATTCGACTGCGTCCAAACTTGGATTAGCCCTCATCCATTGGATTATCAAATCGATGCGTCAGGATCACATTTTCCAGTGCCTAACTTCCTCTATTCCCATTTAATAATCCCGGATAGTTCATTCTTCGTTGCTTATTTTTGTACGCTTTTTTTAAAAATCATTTTGACTGGTGTTAACCGACGACCATGACATACTACTGATGGTTATATAAAACAGAAAAATGCATTTTGTATCTGTCCATCACCCACTTTCTCTTCCTCCTTTTCTTCTACCGTTTCCCTCTTTTTTTCTTGTTTGTTTACAAACTACCATCCGGACAACTGAAATCAACTATGCAAGTTTCGTGAATTGCTGTGTCTTTTGCTATCCCTGCCTACCATCATTCATGGTTTGTCTTCTTCTCAGCCCAATGTTTAATGTGGCCGAAGCTGATATAAAAGATAAACTTTGTCAGTCTGATTGCAGCCCTTTTTACTGTTGGTACTCTTATCAATGATGTTGTCGTCAGTGGCACTTTTGTCATACCCGATGCTCCGTTTTTGTTAAGTACGGATGTATACTAGTATTGGACACCTACAACATTAGATCACTGGAGTCTTTGAAACCAATTAGTAGTGACGAAACTGTGCAGAACGATTCAGTTGGGTGACACGCACCGGTCTACTTGTGATGTGTTTTTGGTTACATCATGAGTGCGGTATAAAACCTCTGTATGAAAAAGATGACAAACTTTGACAATGTAGCTTTATGCATTCTAATCGTGGTGTCAGTTTCATTCAAGAATTCATTGGAAATGTTTACTTTAAGATAGGTATAAGACCTTTATTATCTGGTTGACTCTTAAAGAGTGACTACAACACTCGTGATTTCGGGTACTGAAAAATGAGCGTTAGTCTTTCTTACCTTATCATAGATTGATTGTATTCCACAAATTCATGGACAACAGAATTACAAATTTTACGTGCAGTGCTGAGACAAACCGTTGTCTTGTCTGTAGGTTTAAACAACTTGATATTCAAGCCAGAAATGTCATATACTGCTATCATGATGTCGATGTCTTGGAGTGATATGACGTTTTACACTTTTTCGTAACGCAAGACTCTGCACACGATAACACTTAAGTTGTTAATCTGTACTATTGTATCATTATATAATTATGTAGCTAACAACGAGTTGGTTGTTTTCATACAACAGCATATACTTATGAAGTTGGTTGCTTTTGCATTATCATGATCAACATTCTAGTCCCGTAGGAATTTTTGTAGACATGCAAAACGTTAAGCACAACCATTGATCTGTTTTACCATTAACTCAAAGTTGAATCAACTATAATCTTAACAGTCAAAAACGAGTGAGGAATACTTTTACAGCATGCAAGCTGATCAGCAAAACTTGTTATTTTGCCCTGAAACCTAGTGTATGATGCTGTTGAAAATGCTGTTTTTTTTCATTGTCGATTGAGAAAGTTGGGCTCACTAAGCGACTTAATCCGAAGATCAGTAACTGGCATTTCCTTATTGTGAGTGCAAACGTGCCAAGCTTGCTACAGCTCCTACCGTAGCAGAGAAGGAAGATATTGGCTTAGCATGATACAAGAATGGCTGAAAGCAAGATTGCCAGGCATTCCAAAAAAATCTAAAGGGACTTTCAACATATTCTTGGAGAATTAAACTTTATAGTATTAGGCCAGATGATCATGTGGACAAAAGAACTTAACTACGAATGAATCCCCAATTGTGAGATGTCAGGGCGTCGGCTGGATTCGAACCAGCGACAGAAACACCATGCCTCAACGCGGCAAGCGCTCTACCAGCTGAGCTACGAAATCACGCCAGGAGCTCGGAAATTTCACATGTGGACTCGGTTACACATCCGTTCCGTTGTCTCATGAGGAATAAACCAAATAACTGAGGGGACCAACTTCCCCGGTAGGATTTCTCAAACAGTTCTTGCTGGAATCCACCAACGTTACTGCTGAGCATAGAAATTACGTTACTAATAAGTAGTAGTTCAACTGGTTGAGCGCATGCCGCGTTGAGGCATGGTGTTTCTGTCACTGGTTTGAATCCAGCCGAAGCCATGACTTTTCACAATTGAGCCTCATCTACAATCATAAATCTGCCGTACTACTTATTAGTAATACGAATGGTCTTCGATCATGGTAAGTTCTGAGAAGGAATGCAAACGTGTTAATGCTGTGACCTGTCGAAAGTGCAATAAATGTCGTTTGGGACAAAGATGATTGGTTGACTGAAATGAATGCGCCACTGGGAAAACAGATATTAAATTAAACACCACCCACATCCAATCACAGTACACATATTTAAGTAAACCCTTCGGCTGGTCCACTTCGTAAGGAAACAAAAGACTTGGATTTCGTTCTTATTAGAGTTCATCAGTAGTCCATATATTTGTCCAAGTCGGAGTTGACACTGTATCTGGTTGACTTTGTATGATCAGGTTCCAATCTATTTCATCATCACACTATTTAACGTCAAGTTCTTTTTTCTGTCCATACAGAAAGTGAGTTAAAAAACATAACTGAATATAGAAACCCTTTAACTCTGCTTGCAAATATACCCAGTATATATTAGAACCAACGCAACTCGTAGATATCATGTTTTCTGAACGTATTCAAGTTCTGTTTCAAGGACGGTACCATACAACGAAATTTGTAGGTAACACGGCCTGAACAGGGCAGTATACAAACTACGGTAGTGAACTACCTTTCAGGACAAAGGAACATTACAAGCCAATACTTGATGGGTTGAGCTTTAAAAATATGCCCCTACCGCATCGTAGAAGAGAAAAGACAATTTTCATTTAATAGGCTGATTGTAACTGGCTGACTAAATCAGTTTATCCCTAAGCACATGCTGATTAATACCAAGATGAGTAAACTGCGAACTGCAAACAAAAAGTTCATTCATGTTTCATTGTCTTTCAATGACGGTACTTCTATTGATAACGTTACCAACGTTACCTACTGCTGCAATTAGTAGAACCAATTAAAAATCTCAAGTAATTTTTAACTCTACCTCCAGTTCGATTTTCCTTCTCCATTCGCAATATATATTGCATGTTCATGTCTCCCTGCGGACCGGGTACCGTAGGCTATACAAGACGGCGCTTTGCAAACAAGTGGTCACAGTGACCAGCTGCGGAGTGGTAAACGGCTGTTTCAACCTAGTTGAGTCTCATCAGCACCAGGCAGGTCGGAGAATCGAACCAATAACCCGTGAATAAACGGTAGATTGTGGTCAAATCACCTATCCACTAAACCACAAGTCACCGATACGTTAGGAAGTTGTGTAGATTCGTTTCCACAGCTGTTACCTTAGGTCGTCAATTTCACCTTATGTGCAAAAACATGCATCGGCTTTGTGAGATAAAACGACGTTTAGCGGAACGCCTTCGAGAGCAGCATTCAGTGTAGTCAACCTGAAAACCGAATAGAATCAGTCTGTCTGCAATCTCTGCATAGTTGGTCGAATCGAATCATCTGGTTAATCCGGCAAGCTCATTCAAACCAATCTACCGAGTTCGTGAGGTTAAACCGGGACAGACCAAATGTTACATACTGGCAGTCATAGAGGCTATGACAGTCTACCTGTGTGTACCATACGCTGCGACCCTCTACTACTACTGATCTGTAGTTAAAAGTTGGTATATTTTGCATCGCGTTAGTGGTGTCTACTTTAAATGGACAGGTAAGTACTATTATCTTAATTGCGTGACTGTTTTATTTAATGACTGCGTGAAAACTCTGTCCTACATGCATAAAGACAGATCAGACTCCGCAGTATTGTGTGTTTGTCCATTCAACGTGTGACGACTAACAGAGTATCCATTAATGTTCACAAACTCTGGCGAAGTAACCTCACGGATGTCTCATATTTCTTGCATATCCCTTTCTTCTTTGCCACTGGTTAGTTTAAAGCCGAACCAATTTACATGCGCTAGCTTAACATAAATATAGAACCGAAATAAATCCCTTGAGCCCATAAATCTACAAATGAACCTAACAGCCAAAGTGTTTTATTACCAGGGTTCACTGGGCAGTTCAAACAACATTTTGAATTAAAGCCGTTCCTTAGATTTTTCAGAGACAAAGGCGAATCCGAACAAGTTTAGTTAAGCGCTTCGATTACAATCCGTCTATACATCCGGAAACTTCAAAGAAGTTTAATGAGTTACTGTAACTCCACGAGCAACGGTATAAGGCACAAGTGTGGTTAAATCTACGGTATTTCACTTCTTCTGACTACCATTGTCTGTGCTGCTGTAATTCATTACGTAAGCAATTGACAACTCATAGTTATGAACACCTGACTATCAGACATTCTAAGTGATCGATGTAAATAAGCTATCTACAGCTGGCAATTTGACATCTATTCCAACACCTGGAATTTAACGTGTCTCAGTTATAACGCATAGTGTGGTGGACTGTCAGGCCAGATGGGCTAGTATTCGAACACTCGGCGGAATGCCTCAACGCGATGGTGAGGCACGTCCACAAACCCTCAACGACCGGATGGCAGACAACAAGGGCAATCGGATGAGTCATCGCTCGACTGGATCGGATCAACGGGCGAAACATGGCACGCAAAACAGAATGGACGACCAAATCAGAAGCCCGATTATTCCAAAACTCGGGGGAATATCTCGACACTGTCGTGGAGGACAGTCAAAGCTAGATAGATGGGGGACAACACGAACGACCGGAGGAGCCATCGTTCAACGGAATCGGACCAACGAACGAAGATTGGTAGGCCGAAAACTCCCGGACAGAAGACGCCGGTCACCCACATAAACCACGCAGAAGTGCACACGACGCGTGAGCGGAAACCTTGGTGTGTTGTGGACTAGAATTCTGTTTCATAAACACGAGCGCGCGCGTAGCATGCTAGCTAACGTGTTGGACAACAAAGACTGTACTTTATTGGATGTCTTTTCGCTACAACAGTATAACTGTTCACGTTTTTTTGTGAATTGGCGGTACATTCACCAGCAACTTCTGAATGGCAGCATGCTCCACACACACCAATTGTGGAAGACCAGCTCGGAATTTTTTCGAGCTATACGGTAATCCCAAAGTGTCGTCCATTCAAACCTATTCTTTGAATTTTGTATTGTGTCTCTACACTCATTTCAGCATATTCAAACACGTATAGAAAGATGTAGTCACTGTCTTAAATACAGACTAAGTCCCCAGTAAATTCTGAGCCAAAGGATATGGAATTACAAGGAGCATACATTGCAGTTTTTACTACTGAATATTTATATATACGTCTGTAAATCCCTTTTCAACAAATTGATAATTTTTGAAGGATTTGTGGTGTGTCATGACAATTTATTGTCGGCATAGCAGAAACCCTGCTTGTGGCTCGTGTTAAGGATGAGGAGTTAAATATATCAGACAGTACTATGTTTCACTGAGATCGTCAACTTGCGAAAAGCGATGTTGTATCCTTTTATATTGACAGCCGGCTAAACTCCTCAGAGTCACAACACCTAACTATCCAAGGTGTCCTGAAACCCTATGGCATGCTACACTTGTTGACCATTCTTCCTCTTGTTTGCTAAGTTTCAATCGCCGATCCCCGTCAGCCTCTTGGTTTAATAATCGCCTACTTAATGACGTCATTGGAAAAGTTACTTTTGTTATATAACCATAGTTTTACGCACAGGTGAATACAGCAACACTGAGAATATTTTTGAACACTATTGGCAGTGATTGTCAAACGAGTTCTTTTATTCAATCACTACATTTGCACAGACTTAGATGGTTAGGCCATGTACTAAGGATGCCTGCTAATCGCTTGCCACACCGAGCACTGTTTGCCGACGCTGCGGTGGATTGGCGTAAGGTGCGAGGTGGACAGATGATGACCTGGCGTAGACAAATGAAATCGTTCACGAAGGGCTTGGGCACTGTAGATCGGGTTCGTCTCCTGGGCTGGAGCCCTCGCGACTCACAGAGTCGATGGCTTGAAACTTTAGGTGAGATGGCGGCTAACCGAGCTCAGTGGCGTGAATGTTGTCGTTGTTTGTCCGAGTTGTCTGTGAAGTGAGCGCACTTAATGATGCGGGGCAGTGAAAGCCGTGAGGAAGCTGTCTTGCTGATGACGCCTTACTTTCACTTACAGCTCGGTTGTTTGTTTGCAAGGTGTAGGCGCCTTGATGTTGTATGTTTGAATGTAGACGTGGCTATTTTTAGTGACTAGGTCCCCTCCCCTTTCCCTTTCTTTTCTTCTCTCTTCCTATACAGGGTTTGCTTTTTATTCTTCTTCATAGTTGTGTGGCAGTTAAGCATCAGTGTGAGCCACTGATGTACTGCTGTCTATGATGATGGTGATGATGATGATGAACACTATTGAGATCCATATTCATTTAACATCGCCTGCTTATGAATTCTTTCACGTAGTTAGGAATGCTCATTTGAAAGAGGATAACGAAAACTTCTCATCGTGTAAGGTTTCGCAAAACTGTTCAGGCTAGATTACATCTTAACCAATGGGAAGTGCATGATCACTGATCTAAACTCTAATCACTCTCTCAACAATACTGGTCAGTCTTCATTGACGCTTGAAATGTTAAACAGACCAAATACGGTTGCAAAAGAAATCCAGTTTCTCTGTTCAGACAGCTTAACAATATAAGTATTTATCCGTCAGTAGCTAGTGGTCATTCATAATGGACGTGTTTATAAAAAGCTATTGATAGGTATATTCTAAATAGATAACTTAGAAATCCCAGAAAAAAAACCTCACGACAGTGTTGCACAAGGTAGTGACTGGGAGTGCATCAGTCAACTGGAACTTTTAGAAGCT